TCACTGGAGAAAGATATCATGTTTGGTAAGGTGGAGGGTCAGAGAAAAAGATGAAGACCCCCAACGAGATGGATTGGCCAGGTGGCAGCATCGATGGACTCAAGCGTGGCAACAGTAGTGAGGTTGGCCCAGGATCAGGCAGTGTTTCATTCTGCTGTGCATAGGGTCTCTATGAGTCAGTACTGACTTGATGGCACCTAACAACAACAACGTTCAGTCTCCATCACATCGAAACTGTCAAAAATTGTCAATGCCGAGTGTATTTCAAATTGTTACAGCGGGGTATTAGGAAAAGTTTTCAATTAGCAATAATTGCACCTCAGATAAACCTCACTGGCTACGATGTTGTCACTGTACTATGCTAACCATGGTTATTTTCAATAGCCTCATATGGATGTGAAAGTTAGACAGTGAATAAAGAAGACAATAGAAGAATTGCTGCATCTGAGTTATGGTGTTGGAGAAGAATATTAAAAGTACCCTGGACTGCCAAAAGAACAAACAAGTCTGTGTTGGAAGAAATACAGTCAGAATGCTCCTTGGAAGCAGACTTTGACTTTCATACTTCAAACATATTATCAGGAGGGACCAGTCCCTGGAGAAAGACATCATGCTTGGTAAAGTGGAGGATCAGTGAAAAAGAGGGAGACCCAACAAGGAGATGTGAAGATGGTGCAGGACTAGGTGGGGTTTCATTCTGAGTCAGAACCGATTTAACAACATCTAAAACAACAATGTATTTATATGTTGTTGTTAAGAGCTTTCAAGTCAGTTCCGATTCTGTATAGGGTTTCTGAAGAGCAGCTGGTGGGTTTGACCTGCTTACCTTGTGGTTCAAACCAACTTTGCGGTCCAGTGCTTTACCTTACATTGCCACACCAGGGTGTGTATATGTATGTGTATGTGTGTATATATATATGAACTGGAGTTCATGCGCTGGACAGCAAAGTCTGTTTGGACCACAAGATCAGCAGTTCAAGCTCCCCAACCACTCCTCAGAAACCCTATACAGGGTCTCTGAGTCAGAACCAACTTGACGGCACTTAACAACAACAACAACAACAACAACAAATATATTCATTTGTTGTTATGTGCCATTTAGTCTGTTTCCACTCATAGCGACCCTGTATAAAGTTTCCGAGGCTTTAAATCCTTTCGGGAGTAGAGAAAACCTCGTCTTTCTCCCACAGAGCAGCTGGTGGGCTCGAACCACTGACTTTGTGGTTTGTGGTCCTGTGCTTATCCTCCAGTGCCAGCGCTCTGAGTCTAGAGAATAGTAATGAGCAAACAATGTAAGGAGAACCATTTATGTTGGCAGTTACAGAGCTGTCTTTGAAAGTTGTACTGTCGAGTTTGGGGGGAGGCACTAAAGAGAATGGAACAAGGGGGTGGTACCTAGGAACAAACAGAGGGATTAAAGAAATCATGCTTTAAGGAAAGGAATGATGCTGAGCAGAAAAGTTGGCTCCTTCACGTTAGTCCTCGTCTTCAAGCTGAATATGCACGGTGGCGTCACGGACACTGGCAACTGTTATCATAGGAGGGGATACTGAGGCCGCTTTTCAGAGGATTCTAAACTTGAATTAAAAATAAATAATAAAACCCTGCTGCCATCTAGTCGATTGTGATTTAGAGACACTGCACAACAGATTAGAACTCCTCCTTAGGATTCCCAAGACTTGAAATCTTTATGGCAGCAGACTGCCTATCTTTCTCCCACAGAACGGCTGATGGGTTTTGAACTGCCGACTTTGTGATTAGAAGTCCATTGCTTAACTCCCAACAGGCCTCCTTGCTGTGTTGTTGCTATCATGTGCCACGGAGTCAGTTCTGACTCACGGCGACCCTGTATCGCATTTCCAAGAAGTGACTAGTGGGTTTGCAACACCAACCTTGTGGTTAGCAGTCCAGTGCTTATCCTAGAGTGCCACACCAGGACTCCTTAGAGGATCCTTAGAATCTCAAATAGAGGAGTGACAATACTCAGTGAGATTGATGATGATGGATTATGAGTGCGCAGCATTTTCATATTCAAATTATAAATTCAATTAGGTTTACATGAAATATGACTGCTTAAATCCAATCCGTGGAAGAAGTGTCAGCCAACCCAAAGGTGGGAGAACCTAACTTCTGAAGACAGGTTTCTAGAAATGTAAAGAGTAAGCACTTAACTTCGCTGCTATCCCTGTTTGCATTTAGAAGACTGTTTGCATTGGAGTCCTGGTGCGGCACTGTAGGATAAGCACTGAACTGCTAACCACAAAGTCAGCAGTTCAAACCTATCAGGCACTCCTCAGAAACCCTATACAGGTTCTCTACGAGTCAGAACCGACTGAATGGCACTTAACACCACCACCCATCTCAATATTGGACCATACTTTATCAACCGTCTCCTTTTTTTACTGAAACCAGTTAAGCAAGAAATCCCACACAGGACCAGCTCTTGCCTGAAATATCACATCTTGGCACACAGGCATGCCTTGTTTCATGCATCTCACCTTATTGTGCTTTGTAGAGGGTGGGTTTTCACAGATGGAAGGTTTGGGGTGAGCTTGCATCAAGCTAGTCTACAGATGCCATTTTACCAACAACAATGCACTATCTTCCTGTCTCCATCCATGTTTTGGTCATTCTCACAATATTTCAAATGTTTCCATCATGCTGTTGTTACACATTTGATAGAGAAAACAGACTTTGACATGACCTGGGATCCCGCCACCCCCCCCAAAAAAAAAAAACTTGGGTGACTGACTCTATCACAATAGTCCCTTTAGTGTGACAATCCTGTATTGAACCCGCACTGTCACCGAGGTTGGTCTGTACACGCTGTCACTTGTAACCATTTCTGTGTTTTCAGTACAACCGGTACCAGCAGTATGGGGCTGAAGAGTGTGTGCTGCAGATGGGGGGCGTGTTGTGCCCTAGCCCTGGCTGCGGAGCAGGACTGCTGCCCGAGACAGGAGTGAGGAAAATCACCTGCCACGGAGGCAACAACCTGGGCTGTGGGGTGAGTCGCCATTGGGCCCCCAGGCATGACCTGTCTGTGTGTTTGTTGGTACAAATGAGCTGTCATTCTGTTTTGATTTTATTTGAATCTTTTTGAACTCAGATATCTCTGAACCAATGTATAAGGAAATCTGTTGTTAAATTATTATAGAGAGTCTCAGATATGGAAACAAAAGCACATCATCTACTTGAGGGCAATGATAAGGGGCTTCAAAATATTTGTGGAAAAATGGAATGAGAAGACCACCATAATTTTCCACAAACTTTTTGAAGCCCCCTCGAAGTTCTGATATGGTGTTCTGCTTTGATTTTTTTGTCAAAGTTCAGTAGATTCTCTCTATCCACAAACTCACCTACTTGCTGAAATGTAAGTCCACTGCCATCATTACCGGCTCCTTTGCTGTCTCTTGCAGGCCCACACAGAGAAGTTAAAAAAGAAATGAGTCGTGTGACACGCATGTTCATAGTGGAGGTGGAACAAGGCTGTGAACGTCTGCCTTGCTTGTGTTTCAGCTCTCCTACTGTAAACAGAGGAGCCCTGGTAGCGTAGTGATTAGGCATCGTGGTGTTAACTGAAAGGTCAGCAGTTCAAATCTAACACCCGCTCTGTGGGAGAAAGATGAGACTTTCTACCTGCTAAAGAGCTACAGCTTTGGAAATCCTATTCGCAGTGGTTGTAAGTTGGAACTGACTTAACGGCACACCACCACTGTCAACAAAGGGTCTTTTCGTGGTCTGTGTAGAGTCTTGCTTTTACACATTTGTGTGTTTTTTGTTGGTGATTTTGCTGTTTACCACAGTCCCTAAGCGCAGTGCTGAAGTGCTGTCTAATGTTCCTTAAAGCAAGAAGGTTGAGGTGTGCCTTACGGAGAAAATAGCTGTGTTCAGTGAGCTTCATTCAGGGCTTGGTTACACAGCGGCTGGCGCTGAGTCCAGTATCAATGCAACCATGCTGGGCAGTAAGGCATCTTCAACAGCAGCACACAGAAGCAAGCTGTGCATTGATTAGTTAACGGGGACCCCCAATCCCTGGAGGATTGGTTCTGTATTCTTTGAATCCGTGTTCTGTAGCCACTTTCTAGACCTCACGCCATGACTGATGGAGCATGATTGTATAGACTTTCAGACACGTGAAGCACTAGGGCCAGACCTTTAGCTTCCTTCCTTCCCTCAGCAGATCCAGGCCAATAATCGACCATTTCTTCAGCGTCGCCTTCACATAGATCAGAGTGAAGGAGACAGACAGCCCCCTCTTCCACAAAGCCTTTGTGACGTGATTTGCCAAGTATTTCAAGAAGTCAAAGGAAGATAAATACAGACAACTTGACATTTTATTGCGGCGTAAAAATCATTTTAAATACAGATGAGCAATAGTAATGGTGTCTGTTAGGGAAACAGCGTAAGTAACAGGGAAAATGTTGGTGTTGAAAGTCACTACCATATCCTAGTAGGCTAGACAGCTCTTGAAAGAACATACATTATGAAGGGGTGAGTGAGAGGCATCGCTCAACCCTAAAAAGGCTCACGAAATTCTAGGTTGAAATGAGAAATGGATAATAATCCCCACATTCAGTTTAATGCAGAAAAATCCCCCTAACTAAATTCAATGCAGGAAAAAGCAAAGAAAGTGTAAGTGCTTATAAAATGCAATTGAATTTTGACGGGAAAACATTTCTTTTAAAATTGAAACTTCATGAGGAGCTTTGTGGAAGAAGGGGGTATTTGTATTGTAAGTCACCTGTGCGCCAACTGGCAGTTGGAAAACTTTCGGAAAACTTCCTATCTGCCTTTACAGTGGGTGCCCAGAGCCCTGACTGAGTCACAGAGGAAGGAAAGTAGAAGCTGGAAAATCTTGAAAATCCACAGGCCCAACTGGGAAGAAATGCCTCAGGATTAATAATCGTGATTGCATTAGAATGAAACTCAAATCAGTTTTGCCATCCTTAGAAATTAGGGAAATCAAACTGCATGCTTTCAGCATTTATCATTACCATTTACTGCTAAGTCTGCACTGATTGTGTGTGGCATAAGCAAGCTGCCAAAATCCGGGCTCTGAATGCTATCGGATGTTTTCTTTAAAATGAGTTGCAATCACTTTTGAGTGACTGAGTTGTATATTTTTGCCTGCTAATTGCTTCCTTTTGTTTCGTTCTCCAACACTGGACCTTGAGGTTGTTTAACTTTCCTTATGAAGCAGAATGTTTCTGTAACTCCTCTTCTGTCATCATCTATTTACCTTGTTTTGAAGAGCTTAGGAGGTTTTATGTAATTCTACATCTTCGGCACCTTTATCTTCCCTTATATTGAACACTGTGACTTTGGGCTAATGCGTTAGACTGCAAAGTTGTTTGAACTGCAAGGTCGGTGGTTCAGTCTCACCAGCTGTTCCTTGGAAACCCTATGCAGGGTCGCTATGGGTCAGAATTGACTCGAAGGCACTTAAGAACGACGACATACATATTTAAGCTAAGAATCATGGGAAATGTCTTTGGAAGTGAACTGAAATGCTTTAAAATCTTTGAGTTAAGAGAGTTTGAGGGCAAACTTTACCTAAGGAACAAATCTATATTCAGGACTTTCCTGTGTCCTTTGGAAATTCTAGATGATGGATTTTTATTTTACGTTGATTTTTTCTGTGTTGTTTTCTTTGGAGGTCTGTGTGATGGTTTGTGTACAGTTTCACTATTGCTGCATAACAACCTCAAATGCTAACAATGTGATATAATAAACATCTGTTATCTTACGGTCTGTGAGGGCCAGGCACCTCAGACGGGCTGAGTGGGGTGGCCTGGCTCCAAGTCTCTCATGAGGTCATAGAGAAGCTGTCCACCGGGGCTGCCATTGTCTGTTGGCTCTGGGACTGGAAGACCCAATCCAACATAGCGACTTTGGGCAGAAGGCCAGTGTCTCACCACATTACCGTCTTAGACTGTTTGTCCTCACTAAAGTAGCTGACATCCCCCCGGGCATGTGCTGCAAGAGGAGACCACAGTCCTTCTATGACCTAACCCCAGTGTGGTACATCATCGACCTCGCTTAATTCTGTTTAGTAGAAGTGAGCTACTAGATCCCGGCCACCCTCAATGGGGAGGAAATCGGGCTTCGTCTTGAAGGGGAGAGCAGTGGAGAACTGGTAAGCATATTCGAGTTCACTGCATCTTGTAATATGACTAAGTGAGAAGAAAGAACAAAGGGAAACAACCTTCTGAAGTCTGGGTTGACACGATGCTTTCCTTCTATCCCTGCCTTTTGTCCTTGACACTTTACTCTGGTTTGGGCCTGCAGCAATTCCCTTGGCTCTGAGCAATTCCCTTTGTGCTCACTTGTTTCTCAACTGAAATTGGTTGACCTCATCATCACCCACTTCAACTTCCAGAAAATAATATAAAGCCAACTGAAATGCTTTAGGATTCCATAGTGGTTAAAAAGGCGGTTGAATGCATAAGTTCAAATTTGATTTCCATTAATTGCTAACAGTCGTAACCTTTCTTTGCGTCAGTCTCCTCATCTCTAGAATGGGGTCTATAATAGTAACACTATGTATTTGTGATGTTGATGCATAAAATGCTTAGAATGGTGCCTGGCATATAGGTTAAATGCATATTTACTTAATATCTAAAGGCTTCATTAATATTGAGCAAAAACTCACCTGCAGAATCATCACACTCCCATGTAAGTACCTAGAACTCACTACTTTAGCTCTTCAAAGAACCACTTTTCCTAAATAATATTTTATATGATGTCTTTTGTTATACCTTGGGTCATAATGGAGTCCTGGCGTGGCAGTATAGGATAAGCACTGAACTACTAACCACAAGGTCAGCAGTTCAAACCCACCAGCTGCTCCTCAGAAACTTAGGTTGTTAAGTGACATCAAGTCAGTTCTGACCCTTAGTGACTCAATGTAGCGTTTCCGAGGAGCAGCTGGTGAGCTTGAACTGCTGCCCTTGGAATTCAAACAGCTTTGCAGTCTGGCGCGTTAGCCCACACCAGGACTCCCAGAAACCCTATACTATTGGTTGGAAACAACTCTAGGGCACTTAACAACAATAACAATAGGTCATTATATAAATTGATGGGAACTGTTTGAGAACTTGCGGTCAGTATATCAGAGTGTCCTTTTCTCTGGTGGACATGGTTCCTCTCCCCGTCTGATCTGAGTCACAGAAATGCGAACGCCTGTCCTGAGAAAGTTGTCCTTGAAGACATTGTTAACAGTGCAGCTGATAGACTTTCCTTCTGTGATTTGACTGCTAGAAACCACGACACTTACCGACAGCACAGGACAAATATGGTGTTGTTGTTAACTGTCAACAACTTTGCTGTGACTTGGTAGCGACCCTGTATTGGGTTCCAGAGGCTATAAATCTTTGTGGAAGCAGAAAGTCTCATCATTCTCCCACAGAGCACTGGTGGGCTCCAACTGCAGTCCAGTGCTTATCCTACAGAGCCACAGTACTCCCTCCTAAAGACTAGAGAATGGAACCTAAACTCTAGATTTATGTCATTGATATTGCAACACTTTCAAGATGACACCAGAAAGAACAGGTACGTCTCATTTTGACTACCGGACTCCTGGTGTGGCGCTGTAGGATAAGCACCCAGCAATAGGGTCATTGTGAACTGCAAGGTCGGCCTTTCAACTCACCTGCTGCTCCTTGGAAACCCTATACAGGCTGGCTGTAAGTCCAAGTAACTCAATAGCACTAAACAACAACAACCTGTGGGCTCACACTCATTAAGTCCCAGGCTGTAATCACATCCTACTTGCTCACACCTGTGCACTTCCGCGTGGGGAGAGTGGAATCACATCTTGTTGATACGTTACTTTCGGATGAACAAGATGTTTATTATCAAAAAGTATTTTTAAAAGAAAGTTAATGTTATGAAATGTCAAAAATATGCATTCCATGTTTATTTGACACGTGTCCAAAAATCTAATTTAAACCTTGAGACTGGCTCCTTTGCAGATGGGAAACAAGTCTTGTTAACTTTTGTGCC